TTTTTTTTTTTTTTTTTTTTTTTTTTTTTTTTTTTTTTTTTTTTGGCATATTTCCCCTGCTCTTCCAACAGTTTAGGCAAACAGGAAAGTCAGTTGCTTCCAAGGGATCTCGCGGCCAGATTTGTTTAATTTTTTATTTTATTTTATTTTATTATTTTTTAAATTGAAGCATTGGTGAAAGAAATGATAATAAATAGGCGAATTGAGGGGTAGGTGAAGAAACCAACCCGCTGGGATCGTAACTACGGTTCTGCCTCTTCAAGTCCCTTGTCCCCCCAGGTCCCCCTCCAGTCCCCCCCCGTACAGGATGTGCCCCCGCTTGGCTGCAGGGCCCCTCCACTTCTGATAAACCGCACACAACGCACAGATCCACCTTGGGAAACTTTCCCTTCTTCGCTTTTATATTTACGCACTTCTTTCTTTTATAGGCGTATGTTTCCCAGTTACAAAGTGAAGGTCACTGGACTCAATCCAAAAACGAAGTACATACTGTTGATGGATATTGTACCAGCGGATGACCACAGATACAAATTTGCAGATAATAAATGGTACGCACTCGGGGGGAGGAGGGAAGGGAGCGCTGATTCTTGTCGGGCTGCCCGATCCCGGGGCAGCATAGGGTGGGAGATGCTGCTGCTGGATGCTGGGCTGTACCTGAGGGTGTCGGGACGCACCTCTGGAGAACAACACAAAAAGAAAACAAACAAAAGAGAGAGCCTAATCTGTTGCAATTAGAGAACAGTGCCTGTAATCCTGCTTAACGGTGAGATCGTTGGCCATCCTGGTGCCAATAGTTTAATTACCCTTCGGGCAGCAGCTTCTCCAGGCGGGGGAGATGCTGAAGGATGGATACGCGGTGTTTTCTTTGCTCCTTGTTTGGGTGTCCGCAATTAGGAAGGAGGAAGGATGGGGTTAAATGGGGAAACGGCCACCTCGACGGGAAAAGTGCCAAAGATCTCCATTAATTCTCCGCGCACTGTGTGTGTCCGTAAACGTCTTTTTTTTTTTTTTTTTTTTTTTTTTTTTTTTTTTTTTTTTTTTTTTTCCGAAGACCGCCGGGCACCACGGTGCTGGGGGCAGGAGGGGGGACCCCACGGGTGGGAGCTCAGCGCCTCTGTCCCACGCAGGTCCGTGACTGGGAAGGCAGAGCCGGCCATGCCCGGCCGCCTCTACGTGCACCCCGACTCCCCCGCTACCGGAGCCCATTGGATGAGGCAGTTGGTTTCCTTCCAGAAGCTGAAGCTCACCAACAACCACCTCGATCCCTTCGGACATGTGAGTACCGTGCTGGGATAGGGCCGGGAGACGCGGATTTGTGCTTCACAGAGCGACCGTGGGATCCCACGCGCAATCGGGTCCCTACGAGTGGCATCGCATTGCCCAGAGCCACCGAACCTGTAGTCTAAATCCATTATCTGATTGGGGTATTATCTTCCCCCCGGTAAGACGGGATGAGCCCCAGTGATGACCTCCTACCCCCCCTCCCCCCCCAAAAAAAAAGGATACGTAGCCCATGTTTTAAAGATCTATTTCACAGCACTGCGTGGGAATTGATTACAGACCGCAGTGCCTGGCTTCAGTGACACCTCAGCTACCTGGTTTTAACCCGAAGGGGGTCTGAAAGCCTTAAAATCTGCCCGTAGCTTCCATGAATTTGGCTAACGGGTAAAAATCAATCAGGCATAATTATTGGAGGAAATAGGACCTACAACCACGTGGTTGAAAAGAAAAAAAGTAAAAGCCAAATCGCACCATCAACCATTGTTGGATCCAAGGGGCCGTGAAAGCTTGTGTGAATTCTGCAGCCAGAAGCAGCCCACCTTCGGAGGTCTCCAAAGACATGAGTTTTTCTGAGCAAATGTATATATGCGTCTATGAATTATAAATATATATATCTATAAAAATATATATAATTACTTAAGCGAGTATATGAATCCAGATCCCACCAACCTTTTCCAAGAACCCATTTTTCTCCAGTCTCATTTCAACACTTCGGTTTCACTTTTTTTCCCCAAGCTTTTTTTTTTTTTTTTTCTTTTTTTCCTTCTTCTTCCTTCTGTTTTCACTTTTTAACACTGAAAACCTCATGTTCCTAAACCCTGTCCGGTGGGGGCGGGGAGTGGGAGGAAACCAGCCGAGCCCGCAGCGCACCTGAGCGCTGAGCATCGCTGTCCGAGCCGCGCTTTCCCTCTCCAAATCAGGGTTGGTTGGTTGATTTATTTACTATTTATTTTTTTTCCTTTGGGACCCGAATTAAGGCGCTTTGCAAGCGCTGCTTTCGCTTATTATTATTATTATTTAATGTAATTTTGTTTTGGAGGGGGGAGATTTTGGGGGGGGATCCGGACGGGTTCCGGGGCCAGGCATCTCCCGCTGCGAGCAGGCGGCTCTGGGGAGAAGTCCCTGCAAGCAGAGTCGGGCTGCTGGGTCAATAGGGACTTCAGAGGCGGAGCTGCACCGGGAGCCTCTCAATTAGAGTCGCGGTAATGAAATTAAAAACCATTAGATCGTTCACCGTTGATGTCTACGGCTTTCCCGGATGTCAAAGCAATTTGCCTAAACCCCCGGGAAGGGGGAGGCGGCGAGGCGGTCGGGGTCTGGCGTTGAGGCGCGCTGCGTCTCGCTGTCGCCAGGGTCCGGTCATTATCGGCGCGGGTCCCCCCCTCCCCCACCGTCCCCATCCCCGCCACTGTCCGCGGAGATTAACCCGGTACGGAGCAGGGGCCGCTTTTTATCTTGAGCGCAGCGCTTCCCTCCCCACCACCCTCCTGCCCCATCCTCTGCGGGTGACATGGTGGGGGGGGTGGACACACGAATTCCTCTGCTTCTCATCCCTTGCTTTGCTGGATTGCTGGGAAGATTGAGGTACCCTTGCTAGGGGTGCTGCAAGAGAAAGAGAGCCCCCTCCAGCTTTGGGAAATGTGTTAGGGGCCCTAATGGGCTCCTTGGCTGTGGCGGAATGCTTCTCTGGAGAGGTGTTTCCTCCTCCATCCTTTCTGAGGAGCTCTGATGTGGGAGAATCTTTTGGAGAAGGGACAGCAGTTCCCTCTCTGCCTCCTCTCTCCATGAGGAGGTTGCACGGGTTGGGAATGTGCGGAGTTGTGCCCCCTCCATTCCCATGGTCTGTCCTCTCTTTCTCCCCATGCCCAGATCATCCTGAACTCCATGCACAAGTACCAGCCCCGGCTCCACATCGTGAAGGCAGATGAGAACAATGGCTTCGGCTCCAAGAACACAGCCTTCTGCACCCATGTCTTCCCAGAGACCGCCTTCATCGCTGTTACATCCTACCAAAACCACAAGGTGAGAGCTTGGCCGGGCCTTCGCACCAGCAAACTGTGTCTCCTCTTCCTCACTCCCTCCTGACACAGTTTCTTTTCGGGTCCTTCCCACCCCACCATCATCTCACTCACCTCCCCACTTGCCACAGTACTGGCTCCCTTATGTTCCCCACACCCCTCCCCATCCGTCTAGTTCTGTTCTGTCCCCATCCCCTCTGTTATTCCTGGCAGTACACACAAA